AAGACATGGGTTAGTTACTCCGTTGTGCTTCCACGTTTTATTTAAAAGTCATTTACTTTTTATGGCCATTCAAAAATAGTTTTGTTATTATACAATCAAAATAAAAAGCCCACTGAGTTTATAGCCTGGACGGCCTTTTGATAGATAATACACCTAGAATCGTATGAATTCAGCCTAATTCTCTTTCACGGGTTCGGCAAAAAACGACTTATTGGCCTTCCTAGTGAAATAGAGCTAACGTCGTCAGTAAGGGCGACGACCGGCTTAGACACACAAATTGGCTCAATCACTCAATTTTGTCGCTTATTTTTTGTCCCTTATTCAATAACCGGTTTCAAATTTTTGATTGACCCTGCTTCTGCTTCCCCATGACCCGACAAATGCCATCTCGAAACCTTTGTTATTCAACTCGAAGCCGCGAATAATTTTCCCATTCCAATGCATGCCCAAAAGTTGCTATATACCTTAGTCTAAGTAAAAATTTTCATTTTTAAAGTGGCTGTTTTTCAGAGCCCATTAATGGTACATATTCTCCTTGTAGTTTATTCTGCTAGTTGGTGTGGCCCAACTAAAGCTCATTGATTTAAATACCACTTCGTCTGTTCGAGGAGTTCTGTTGTGATTCGTGTTTATTCAACATCTTAATCCGATCGATTCGCCTCCGGTACAAGGCTCCCGTTCTCGCAGCATGGCGACAACAGCGCAAATCCTCAACCCCCCTTCATTCACACGTATATGTATTTTGGATTAACCGCACACATAGATCTCGATGTTAGCACGGTTATGACTCACACACCCGAGCTATAAATGCACACGCACAAACCCACCACGACACAACTTCGTCAAGACCTCGAATAAACGGTTGACTCTCTGTCCTTCCACCTACTTCGTCTTTGTTGGGCTAACTCGAGGTATTAGGCACCCCCAACAGTTCCTTTTATAGTGAATTCAATTGGAATCCATCTTGCGTTGTCCGAGTCTAACAGGTACGAGCGACTCTTGAAGGAGTTTCTCAAATTGCCAAAGTGGCCCAGGTGCCCAGTGAACCTGCTCACCGGACAAATTGCGCCAGATAAACGCGGAGCAGCCAATGCAGAGTTTTACCACATTTGCCTTCCTGGTGTAAATTCGTCCCTCCAACTGCACATGAGAGGCTCCATCACACACGGTACCTAAGAAGTCAGGAAACTAGAGATCCTCTAACGATTACAGAGCCGTGAATAATGTCATAGTACCTGACCAGCACCCTATTCCCCATATACACGACTTTTCTTTGAGTTTAAAAAGTATTTTCAAGATTTGACTCTGTCCGGGTCTATCATCAACTATCTGTTGTACCTGATGGCCTTTCGTAACTTTCCGTTATTACTCCGTTCGGCTTATTCAAGTTCCCACGAATACCTTTAGGTTTACAAAACACAACACAGATAAATGGATCAAGTCCTCCGTGGTTTCGATTTCGTACTTCTCTTTATTTTATGGCATTCTCGTTGCCATTCATGACAATGACGAAAATCAGCTGCGCCTGCGGGAAGTATTTGCACGTTTAAAGCCTATGGCATCACAATTAACTCCCAAAAATGAGTTTTGAGTGGACAGTGTCGAGCCTCTCAGCTACCAACTTGACGCAGCTGGGCACAAAATCCCTGAAAGATAAAACAACAGCGATTTTAGAGTTGTAGTAGCTAGAGATGCAGCACTACTCTACAACCCTCTAGTTAACAGCCCGTAACAACCCGAGAAGAGTGGAACAAGAGTCGACAGAGGATACGATTGTTCATTTGCGTCACGTCAGCCAAGTTTATCTTAGTGTGTGGATGAATGAACGGATGACAGGCGTCTGATAACAGTAACCAATGGAAAGGAGATGAGTCATTGGCACCGTCAGGTCAGTAAACAGGGCTCACTCAGGCCCGATAGTTGTTAATCCTCTACAGAGTATCCAATGCCGAATTCGCCATTAATTATCAAGGAAGTAACATCAGGTATCCCAAACTTGCGCTGCTGGTCTTACTAACAGATCCTTTCCAAACTGCGGTCGACGCATTCCAGTATTTTCTCGAAGGCTTCAGTCGAATTAAACCCGATACAACACATGTTCCAGAGAATCAGTGACGATTTACCTTGTTTTGAATCACTTCCGTCACTTACTGGAAGGAAGCGAGTACACAATTTTTACTGATTTTATGCCCTCGACGCGGCCTCTAATCGGTATTCTTATCGCGAATCCGGGTACCTTGACTATGTTTCACAGTTCACAGCCAGTAATCGCCACGTTGGTGTGACCGATATCGTCGTGGCCTATGCTCTGTCTCGAGCACACATCATAACCGTTCATTTCCTGGGATCGGTCTTGAACAGGTAGCTTTGGCGCAGACGAATGACCCTGAATTACGACAGCTTCGTCAAAATTACATCTGCATTTGGAAGTGCTGCAAATTACCCACTGTTTTACCAATGTTACGTGTGATTTGTCAATTGACAAACCTCGATCATCCCCTTTCACAATCGTGGGCTTGATAACTGACTATTTCCTTTGGCATAGCGTTCGTCAAGATGTACTTTCATTGGCTAAGGACATTTTCCCCACCTAGACGCTCGCTTCCAACATGTACGCATAAATTTAGTTGGACCTCTTCCACCGTCTCAAGGTTTCGCCTATGTCCTAAACCTTGTCAAGTGTTTTGCTCATTGGTCCATAGCAGTCTCCACTAAAGACAGTGCAGCCAAAAGGGTTTTATGGAATCATTGGTTTCGTCCCAGTTCTATAACATCTGATAGCGGAACACAATTCACATTTTGTTTGTTTCGGGATGCAAACATTTTCGTATTGCCGTGTATCACATAGCCTACAATAGCTTGGTTGACCGTTTCCACTGTCAACTTCAATCAGTCACATTGCAAGAGCTGTGTCCTATGCATTGCCACCAATTTCGCTGGCCATCCCCAATTCGATAAAGGAAGACCTTAAAGCTACTCCAGCAGAATTCGTTTTGTTCAACTTCGCATCCGCATGGTGAAATGGGAGCAATTTCTAAAAACACTATTGATATTCGCACTTCAGTGTACGTTGACCAGTCAAAGTGCTCTTTGAAGGAAATTTGACCAGCATAAACAAGTTTCGTCCCGACAGGCACGTATTCAGCCAAATTTATTCTCTTCTTACGTCTTTGCCGATGGCGCCAAAACAATCGTAAAACCACCCAATGAGGCCACTTGTAAGGTGATAGAACGCGCCGGTAGGTTTGTACAATTGAAAAAAATGGATCGCAGAATACTGTGAGCGTAGACCGTAGTAAAGTTGGTTAAAGGAATTACAGCAATATTTTTCCCCTACACCACCCTGTATCCTTACCAGGCCCATTTTGCCCAACGCTTGAGATCCGTAGTCCGCTGATTCCGTTTGATAATTTTCGAGCATTTACTCTTTCACAGCTAACACTCCGAGAGGAATATCTTCACCCGACTGTCAGCGGACACGAGTGAGGACAACCTGTTTACCGACCTGATGGCGTCAATGACTCATTCCCCTTGCATTAGTCACTGTTACCACTCGCCTGTCATCCGAACAATCATTCTCAAACCAGGCAAACCATGGCTGGCGTGACGCCAATAAGCGATCGTATCCGCTATTGCTGTCTTGCCTCTCTTCTCGCGGTTATTAATGGTTCTTAACTAGAGGATTGTAAGGTAATGCTAAGCAAAACACTACAGGTTCTTGCTACGTCTTAAACTGTAACTATAGAGGAGAAAAAATTGTCTTTCACATAACTGACCTTTGTCTTTAGCTCGAAGGGAAAACCCAAATTACTACCATTGAAACCTGGTTCATTTTCTTAATTTTCTAATTCTCAAAGCGTTAGGGTGATAACTATTCCATAGGATATATGCACGGAAATAACTAACTGATTTTTTTCTGCAAACACCTGTTCCCAAATGGAGGCGAGGTTGAATAGATCTACGGTAGATTCTGGATGAGGTCTCAGCTGTTAAAAGTTATAAAAAAAAACCTTCATAATTTCAGTAATGTAGTTTGTGGACATAAAAAAAGTAAATTTTTGCAATGAATAAAAATGGACGATACAGTTTGCTTTCAGCCCACATTAGTCAGAAAGAATGTCCAATTTGTTAATTTCATAACTTTTGTGCTTATGGTTATAAATTTTTCACAAATATTATGTAATTCAGAAGAGCCATTTATAGAAGAGTTTTAACATAGCGGTGATGACCAACGTATATTTACGCATAAATTCTATGGGTAATCGCGGAAAAAATCAAATCGATTGTGAACATAACCTGTCGTCCATGGATGTGTCTGTGTGCGATTGCTTCCATTGATTAAACGCTAAAGGTGAACCCTATTAGCACATCACTATCTTTTCTAAGAAGAAACTAAGGCGGCCTCTCAAAAGGGTGATTAGTGATGTACAATAGCGCACACCCATCTCTAAGGCGTTATGAAAAATAGGAGCGCTATAAAACGCAATGACCTTTGCATGTAACTTAATGTTGGATTTTACAATTTTCTAGTCCAGCACTCACTCATTCAATGTTGTGTAGAACCAGTTTTGTATATAAGATACTGACATGGTAAATGATTGGATGATTTTGTATTCCTTCGACATTTTAGTAACCTAATCAACTCAGAACATTTGTGTTATCGGGAACTCCACACTAAAACCCTTTTTTTTGACTGCCAAATTATGAAGAGGAATTAGCTGTTGGTTTTTTTATTTATTTCATAAATCAAGGCAGACTGATGCATAAGTGCACAATCGCGCTGTTGAAAAGGAATTTGTCGGCTGACTGGGATGAAATGATCATCCAGTGATATCAAAAATAGATTTATTAAGGGCCATAGCTCAGGTAGGGATGCTAAAAAGAAATGAAGTAATCAGAGGGTCATGGAAGCCGCAATGTACCTTGGACTCAAGGTACTGCAAAACCCCAGTGGAAAAACGATTTGTGGAATTTTGTGTTGAAAGCAGCTGGCAAGCCTTCTAACTTGGAGCTTCGGGATCTTTAGAAGTATGAACCTGTGCTTTGACGTCCAGTGAGTGTTTAAGGAGGTTCCAGTCGTCAAATGAGGGTGAATGCCGAATGGCCACGGGGTGGCTCAAGGCACCGCTTACGTCCTGCGGCGCACTCATAGTTCGTTCCAGCACCGAGCCACATTGCATTTGCCGTTTATTCACTGCAGGAGATGCTGTAGGAGAGTAAAAGGAACAGCCAATGGTGTGCTCTTTCACCGATCTTTTGAATACATTACTGAATGACCTGGCTTCCCCCTTGCGACTGTCTTCATCTAAGCCCTTGTCCAACGCCAAACTGCCCGAGCACAAGCTTTCGCACTGTCGAACCCTCTGCATTTCCTCCTGTCGCCGAACGGCCTTTTCTCGCCGCATTTGGTCCTTGTAGAACTCAGCAAAATTATTGACGATTATGGGAATAGGCATTGCTAGAACCAGGACACCACAGAGCGCGCAGCCGGAGCCTATTACTTTACCCAAGGGGGTTATGGGACTCATGTCACCATAGCCGACGGTGGTCATAGTGATTATTGCCCACCAAAAGGTGGCTGGGATGCTCTGAAACTTAGTATCTCTTTCATCCTTTTCCGCAAAATATGCAAGACTGGAAAATATCAGCACACCCATGGCCACAAACATCATCAGAAGTCCCAGCTCCTTGTAGGACCGTCGAACGGTGTAGCCAAGCGCCTGCAGCCCAACTGAATGACGAGCTAGCTTGAGAACTCGAAGGACGCGAAGAAGCCGAAAGACTTGAACAACCTTACTTATTGCCGTAAGGGAGTCGAGAGCTTTTGAGATGTAGAACGGAAGAATAGCGACAATGTCGATCATATTCATGGGGCTTTTGAGAAATCGACACTTGCAAGGTGCTACGATGAATCGGACGAGGTATTCTATGGTAAACCAGATAATACAGACCAGTTCTAGATTGTCTAAATGATACTGGGCAATGCCATTGTCCTCAAAAAGGCTGTAATGGAGACCTTTTGGTCGATTTATCCTGTTCGAGGCATTAACAGATGCGTCTGTTTGGTTTTGACTCTCATTGGTTGTTGCAATGGAATTCAAGGCCAGGCCGATTGTTGAGAGTAGAATGAAGGTTACCGAAATAAGAGCAACTATCTAAAAATAAAAAAAAATGTAGCGTATTAAACCACCCGATGGCGCACATGAAATAGCGTTTGATAGGCTACCAAAGCAAATTCTTCTTTGAACAAAAGCAGTGCCTTGCAGTAATGACTTACATTCACTTCATTACCAGGTTGCACACGCTGATCAAGATGGAAAATATGCAAACAGTTAAAGTTTTTGTTAGGTTCCCAATTGTTACCTAAGAATAGGTTGATTTTGAAAAAAAAATATTATGCCAGCTGCATGCCCTGCAGTCTTTTTTTGCTTTAAAGGATGAGTTGTGTGTTTAAAATGTGACGCTAAATGTTCAGGTCAATTATAATATTTACACCTATGAGAATCAATATCACGAGGCACCAGTTTAACTCCAGATAACAGCTTTCAATACAATCCTGTATTTGATAAGTTGAAAGTGACCGAATAGCAAACGGAACTCTCAAATTTCGGCCACCATGAAACAGAATATCACCTCGCAGTTAGCTATGCAGTGGACTTAAGTGATAGATTTCCTTCCAACCCAACTTTGCATCGGAATTTGTTTGGGATTTGACCTCAGGTGAATATAGCAATGGCGTCCACTGCTTTTATATAAATCGAAACAAATTGGATCCATTATTCTCCGATAATTAGCAGAATTATATTTATGTCTTTTCGTCCACTCGGCACAATTCCTTGTACTGTCTTTCAAGTCCCATTTTGCAAAAGCCCTAATGAAAAATACCTTTTTAGTGCAATAAAGACTTGCGTGGTGGTTGGCATCATAGCCACAATTCCGATTTTAAAAGACGGTTCAAGGTTATTCACAAATTATATCTGCGATTTTTGAAGAAGAAAAGAATGACTAATTTATCTACAGCTATAAGGTAAACTTTGTTAAGCTAAGAAAAGGAGGAGTGACTAATAAAACATTATTTTTTAAGACAGAGGTGCATAGCTTTAAGGTTAAGTAGATTCTTCCCTCAGTAGTTTTTAATCACCTGGAACCCAGATTCCTTGAATCGATTTTATTTTCAGGCAATTTAGTGCCAATGTTCTTCACAGGAATGGTGACCTCTAAAACCACTCTGTTTACTAACGTAAGTCTGCAGCTTTTTAGCACTTGTCGCAGATTTTTTTTTACAAGGGGCCTTTTTGATTGAGGAAACTTCTGCAGTCAGCACAAGTACTTTAAATAACTTACTATTCTGTAATCGAGTCTATAAAGGAGAACTCAGATTAACCAAGTGAGTTTTGCAGAAAGCTTGGTGTCTAACCAATGAGATTTAAATTAGCGAATGATAAAATCGAGAAATCATTCAGTAATAATTTTACCTGATCGCAAAGAACGTTTGATGACCCCAATTCTGAAGCTCATAAACGGGAGTACTTCGTCTCTTTCGTAACACAATTTAGTAGACCATCTGTGAGAATGTTTGACTACTGAAATGAACTCCCAATATAGGGTAAAACATATTTTCATGCATGAATTGCTGCCCTGAACCCAAAACACGTCGTTGCCTGATTCACCTGGTGAAAGCGCAAAGCCCAATTTTAAAATTCATCAGCTCTTAGACCATAACAAACACAGTGACTACTCAGTATTGTGGCCTGAGTACAGAATATGAAATTTACAGATGACAGGATGCGTAAACCCCCTACTTTGAAGTCCATTGGATGGTTAATAAAAGTCCACTCCTCATGCTGGTTTTAGTGTACTTGTGGGATTTGCCTAGCGGTGGCCGTTTCATCCTGGAACTGGCGTGATGGCCGTGAGAGCGGGGGTTCGTTAACGAGTGACATGCGTTTCAGGCGGTTGTAACTGGAATGCGCTGGCTGAACCAGTTACACTCGATTGGGCGGTCAGTTTGTACGGCAATTGGTGCGTGCGTTTTAACTGAAAAATTTTGATGAAAATTACATTTGTACGCACAATGGGTTATAAGAGAATGGGATTAAGTATTCATCCTAACCAACTCATTTGAATTGAGGCCTAGTTAGGGCATTTTCGGTGAATTTTATCCAGGACAAACGCATCTTGGCGAACAGGAAACGAAAATGAAATAGACTGCAGTTGTCTAAAACAATAAAGCAAGTCCTTTGGTGAAAACGTGACTAGATGTAGGGAGCTACTAAAATATTCTGCAACATGCCATCCTTAAAAGCAGGAATACGCCGTGTGTTCTACAAATAACGAAACAACTACGTTATTTTATTGTCAGAACTGGTGAAAGCCATATTCTCCATAAGAATTGAGTTGTTTACGAATGTAACTTTGGCAGTTTTTGTGTTCCACTTTGCAAGGGCATTGTTTTGGTCATCTAAACTGGCATGCACCTAGACGTAAACTCGTGCCAGTCGACAAACTTAAAGTGCCTGAACGTCCCAGATAACAATTATTTACAGAAATATTTGCTCTCATTTTGGAGTCGAACTAACTCACTCTAGTGTGTAGAGGAGGGTTGGAGGCGGCTGTGTGGGACTGTCGCCCTTTATTCATGTTCCTTAATAAAGAGGCGAATTTGGTTGGGACAAGTCCCGGGAGGGCGCGATGACTGCGCAGAATGGGGGTAAATTGAAGTCAAAATAGCACAGCCAATGAAGCAATAAATAAGAAACCTCACGCCTGGCGCACTTGGCAGAAAACTGCGCCAGAAGTTTGCCAAAGAATTCAGGTTTACTTCTGGAAATATTAGCAATTCTTTGGAAAAAAAGTAATTTGATAATATGCAACTTGGGGCACTAAATTTAACGGCTTATTAAAAATAGTATTATTTACTCGGGGAAAGTTAGTAAGCACATTCTACGTTGGAATTACTGTCACTTAAATTCTTGAAATATTTTTTGACTTTTTTTTACTATGCGAACAGCCCAATTAGCAAGTGTGCTTTGGACATCCTATGCAATGGCGAAGTAAGAACACATGCGCTTTTTAGGAAAGCACGTTTAACGGCAGTGGCTCTGGGGCTTCTCCTCTGGGGGGTGGTCATGGCAAACGTGATGAAATGTGAAAAGTCGCTTTTACGGACTCTGGCTTGGAAACGAAATGTAAGCCCAAGGCGAAATTTCATTCTGATTTTTTTGTGTCGCCGATATTTATACACTGAGCTCATCGTTGATGCTACTCCAGTGTTAGCAGTAAAGCAAATAGATGCAGAATTTAAAAAAAACAATCACTAGTTCTGACCTCAAAAAGAGAATTGAAGCTGCCTTTGAGAAAAGGAATATTTAACTATATCGTCATCGATTGTTCGTGTATTTGAGACAGGAATAAAAGCAAAAGACATTATAAACAAAAAACGCAGCGACATTTTTGCGTAATATTTACTCCAAATGTCACTGCTATTGTAGCGTCAGTGGTCACAAAGGATAAATAAATTGCACCCAATTAGTGACAACCAGGCTACCGGTTCACAATGGCTGGATTTTCGGGCCATACTACTCTGATCGGCAGTCTATTAGAAGTGTAGATAAGTAGTCTTTTCTTGTCCCAAAAAACAGATATTTAGTAGATAAATTACCATGACATCCCTTAGTGGCCTACTATATGCGTTGAAACAGTTCAGCATGGCACAATTGCTCTGGCCTAAACAAGTCATTGACCTTATTGTAGTAAGCAAAAAACCCAAGCAATCAACTGTTTCATAAAACATAAGAGAATAACAGCAGTAATTAGCGTACTGGTATTTAGTCTATACGGTTACCCAATTAATTTGGCAAAAACAAATTTGGCAGCATCTTGTCAAGCAGAGTTCTAGGTTGCATTCATAATATAAGATAAACCCTAATTTGAGGCCTGTACTGTTTATAGCTCCATTTTTTTGCTTAGTAATTAGAGCAAAACTTAAACGATAAAAGGCTGTAATGCCTCTGGTAGCCCTCAAAAGCGTTCCACATTAATGTCATCAAAATTTTTGGATTGTCGAACATTTGATAAAAACTTTCAAACATCAAAACAGGCAAATACCAAGCTCGTAGGATGACTGATTTATCAGGGGTATTTTTTCCCATATTTTATTGTATTTGCATTAATCGGTAATCAAAAGCATTTTTAAAGATTCGTGTTTAAGCAAGAAAATTCACAAAAACGTAAATTTGTTGCTTAATTTCAGCAGCTGAATCGGACAATTAATGGTAATTAATTAACGACAAAATGCCAGCATCACGTGATAAAAGGTGAAGGCATTTGTCAGTCTGAATGCTTTCCCGCAAATAATTTAATGAATCTCTTTAGGCTTGTTAGGCTCATTTCCAAAAATCTTTCCGATGTTTTTACTAAGTAACCAAGTCTTTCCTCAGTGCAGTTGTTTAAATTATCATTATTTTTACGAAATCCAAGTTGCTTAATTTAGGTTTTGTGTAAGCTATGAGAAATTAACTGGTGGATATTTCTTTACTGCTGAATTTAAAGTAAAAGAGAAACGAAAATTTAAAAAAGGTGCTTGATGGAAATTGTTTTTTACCTAGATTTGCAGTGCGAATAACCGATGTAAATGGTAGTCTATTAGCACGAAAATACTCTCCTTATTGAGTAATTACCCGAAGTCTTTCGAGTTAACATTTTATCGTTGCAACAAATGTTGTTAACAGTGGTTGATAGACTCCCAATGTGACCACCCACTTTTTTGTCTGTGTTCTATTGGTGGTTGGCACTGTTGCTGTGATGTTATTCAACCTATCGTGCTTAGAGGTTCCATTTACCCAATTTGCACCATTTACCCTATATTAAAACCAAAATTAACGTATACTTATTTGTTACAACAGTAAATGAAGAAGAAAATTTGTGATTCTGCAGGAGATTGTAAAATTGACTAATTCACTTGAAGTGATGTGGTTTTGACCTCACTACATTGTTTGATGCTCAACCCCATTCTTGTGTTGTTTGGTGTGTAAATTTTCTACTAAGTGTAATAATCCCGAATGTCATGCTAATGGCGCATTTTCTAAGTGTGTTTTTATTATGCTCCCATGAAGTCTATGCTGAGAGAGTCCATGCTGCTTAGTTGCAAGTGATTACTTAACAGTTACTGTACTGGACGTCAAGCCTGTCATACTAGGTTTACTCCCTAACGAATCAGATATATATTAATGGCCTTAACAAAGTTGAACATTACCTATAGCAAAATATATCAATCTAGGTTTTACTCAGTACATTGCAGGGTACCCAAGACAAATCACTCAGTGATCCCCTACAAAGTTTTCGTTAAAAACTGGAACCAGGCCCCTTAGTGATGACTGTGATCTGTCCAAAACAAGCTAAAATAGTTCTAACAAATCGGAAATGCTTAGTATGCAAAATCTGCATCAAAATTCCAGGTGCCATTATTGTATGAAGTCCATTTTCACAGAATGACTGCATTTAAAGGTTACCGTTCCCAACAACAATTTTTACTGTCTTCATAACTATTGTACAAAGCTGTTAAAGGTGTTACTTTTTTTTGGTATAATTCCCTAACTTGATTCTACCTTTAGTAAAACATCGGTAGAGATTGTAAAGAATGTTCGGTGAAAATGTCTCCATAACAACAATTAGTTTTAACCAGAACAATCTAATAAGTTTTTCAGCCTTGATGAGGTTTTAATAATCGAAGTCTGTAAATCCTTTAGACAAGGCCATGTAAGGTAAAAAAAGTACCTTCAAACCACAATTTAAGGCAAGCATTCATGTCTGAGAGCGAAGAACAGGGAATTACAACTGAACACTCCATTAACTTGCAGAAAAAGCATTTGTTTGAGATTTTGCCATTTTTATTGAACCCAAGAATTATGTTCCAAAATTCTAAAGGTTAATAAAAATACCAGTCTGTAGTGTAGTCAGTTTTACACTTCAAGACTGGCAGGTACCTCACATTTGGTTTTCCCAACGTGATAAACCACTTTATTTTTGACGCCGTTGATTGGTGATATCACGTCGGGGTCACCAGATGTAGTAGCTTGATCTTAGCACTACCTTACAACCCTCTGGTTAACAGTCCGTAGCTACCCGAGGATAGGAAAAAGGAGGCGACAGAGAACACGACCGTTTATTAGAGTCGAACCAGCCAAGTGGCTTTGTGTGCGTATGAGCACGCGTGCGTAACAGACGAATGCTGACAAAAATCAATAACAAAAGGGGATGAGTCATCGCTACACACGGGCCTTTGTGCACGCACACTCGCGCGGGGCGACTGTCAGTCCACTACACTCTTTTACATTATTAGTGATCAGAATTAACTCCCAAGTGTATTTAAAAAGATTTATTTTAACATAGATAATATGACTGCTAGTAAAATTCAAACATCTAGTTAAGTCCTGTTTTGCTTGACTGGCTGTTTCGGGTTTACAATGTCACAATTTCACTGGAGATCCTCACTTTCTTGAAAGTCAACTAGTGACTAGACACTAACAACCCTCGTAGAAAAATTGCACTCTGAAAACCCTTATGCGACTCTGAAATTTATGAAATTAATTTAATTACTTTTAAAGTTCACAAAAAAGTCTGAATTTTGCTACTATTTTTAGTGTATACGGACGCCATTTATGAAAAATATGGTCACCCACATTAGACCCATTAATCACAAAGTTATAATGAGTCGTGGTAATCAGAGCCATTGTGCTAGAGTAGTCTGGGTGGGTAATTTGCAGAAAGCATTTTTTAATTCAATATATTAGCAGTGCAACAAAATCTTACAGGAAAACATGTGCCATTAAGGAACGTCTGCAGTAATAATCACAAAAAATGGTCTTAGACAAAAGTCGTTTCTGGATCGAAGGCATCATGGACTTTTTTGAAGTGGTTTTATTATAAATCTTTCAAACCCTAGTTTCTGCTAATGTCAATATTGTGAAATCAAAACTTTTTCTCTAACTCTCCACAGTTTTACAGTTTCCAAATTTGTCTTTTTTTGTGAAGATTGCCCATGATGAATGCAATTTATTTTAGTGAACATCAATTAAAGCAATAATGAACGTTCCTTGGCGCAAAGTAGTATAACGTTTTGAGATCTTTCCAATTTAGCAATTGATAATGCAATACTAAGCTCAGAATTATCTGTTAAAATAAATTTGAGATCGCATACATTTTGCTTTAATTGATCGAATTTGATGAAGAATTTGTATTAAGCAACCAATGATGTAGCAATTCAAATAACCCTATGAATTGACACAATGGCGATGTTAATTGCTTTCAAAGTGCCAATCTCTTGCCTCTTAGTTCTATTTTTCCAAAAATATAATAATATGTCCTTTGGTATGGGAGCATAATGGCTTTATTATGTGGGTTTTTACACCACACACTGATTAAATTTCGTGTATTTTTAAATAGTAGTTGAATCAATCTTTCTTTTGAGCGTTTTCACAAATTTTTAGAATGTGATTTTATTCCACCAACACCAAGAAATATCTGATTCAAAGCAATTTACATAGGCTAATATCCCACTCTCAACTGTTTGTCATTTGCAGACCTACTAAGGATCTACAAACGCATTTTACAGACTCACGTTCACTTGTAATGGATTCCAA